TGGCTTCACTCACTGGACTTGAGCCCAGTCTCCTCATCGGTAGCACGTAGGTTCTCTCTTGTCCCTCCCAGTTCCATGAGTGGAAAATTCAAAAGGTAAGGACAAAAGGAAAAGTTTAGGAGGAGGCAGAGCTGCGCACACCCGTGTCTGCTCTGTCATCGTTCAGGCGGTGTGTCCTTGTGCAGCTCATTTTAAACTCCTTTGCTTTATTCTCTTCATTCATGAAGTAAGGGCACTTGGTCATGCCTCTTAGTAAAAGCAAAGGATTTAACAAAACACTAATAAATGCAGAAATGACATAGTAGCTGCACCTGTCTTCCTGCTGTGATTTTGGCCATGAGATTTTAACTAGGGACATTGTTTATGCAATTTTAGAAACATCCTTTTCTTAAAAATAAAAAATTGTATATATCCAAGCTGTACAGCATGATATTAATATATATATTAATGTTTATATATATAATATATTTTCACATATATTATGTATACGTTTATATATATGTGTGTGTGTGTATATATATATATGCTGTACATGGTGAGATAGTTACTAAGGTCAAGCTAATTCTTGTATCCATCTCCTCACATTGTAACCATTTGTGTACAGTGGAGGGTGAGGACACTAAAGATATCTGGGTTTTGTCTCCCTCCTTTTGCCCCATCATTAAGCGTGTGTGTGTTCTGGTGATTAGTGTCATAACCTAAAATATTCAGCAAGATGGAGGAATAAGTGGGGCAAGAGATCTGGAGAATCAGATTCATCAATATTTCGGCTGTTGGTAGCAACCCCTTGTCTTTGGTGGGAAGGCAGCTCTTTTGTGGATGAAGATTTGCAGCGTTGTCGCATGTAACCCACAATCACAGGCCACCTTCTGGATGACTCAGCCTCCTTGCCGAAAAGGCATGCTTGTGACTGCTGCCCCCAAGAAGGCTCCTTCCTCAATGAAAGGGTGAGGTCAAGGCCCTTAGCTCAAAATACAACTGGACGGCAGCAAGTACCCGTTCCTTTTCAGCTGTGTTCTAAATATGGCCCTGGGGCTTCTCTGGTTTCACTTAGGGACCCAGCAGTGCCAGTGCACACTTAATACTCACTGTGCTGTGGGTGACCACAGAGTGGCCCAAGATTGGCGTGTGGACAACCCCACAGAGCCAACGCAACAGCAGCTCTGCCCAGCAGAGGTCACAACAGTGTCCTCAGCAGATACTCCGGTGGCTTGAAAATTATAATTTTATCCTGAAATGATCGTTCTTAAAAATGTCTCCCCCAAAGCAATTAAACTTTGGGGAAGTCAAACAAATGTTGCTAACAAAGAAACCCCAACCAGAAGCCAAGCCGGGGTTGGCTCTCCATGTGAAATCTAGAGACAACTCAGGAGGAAGTCAGATTCTCAAGCTCGAGGCAGGAGTCAAATGCTTTCCTTGGTAATTGATAAAGACTCTTCCTTGGCAAGAACTTTTGTAGATTATATCAGAGTTTTTGATGAATAAAGAATATGCTGTGAAAATTAAAGAGATGGCATTTATCCAGTAGTATCTTGACTTCTGTAATAATTCATGAAGGAGAGGTTGAATAATTGCCTCAGAATGAACTTCCAAGGGGTGGCCCCGGTCTTGTCACAGATGAACACCCTCTGGGACATTGTCAGTAGTGTGGGTGAGAGTAACCAGATAACCCCCAAAAAACTTGAATCTGAGTGAAATAAGGTTATCTCTGGGAGATGAACTAGGAAATGGACACATCATGGATCAGAGGGGCTGCATTAAGAGATAGAATGGATTCCCAGACAAGGACATTTACTCATTTGTAACACAACTGAAAGTATGACAGTATTTATAGAAGGAGTGGGTTGGGGAAAGGGGATCTCAGAGACTAATCCAGTGTGGTCTGGGGAGATGGATACGGTCCTTGTTCTAGGCATACCATCATTTTATAGCAACATATATCAGCTTCTCTCAACCTGAAGGCAATAAATCCATAGTTCTCAAACTTCAGCAGTCATCTGAGGTTTTAATAATACAGGTTTCTAGGCTCAACTCCCAGACAGTCTGGGTCAGAGGGTGTGAAATGGGACTGGACATCTGAAGATTCATCAGTCCCACCAGTGTGATGTTGAGACACATGGCCTGAGGACCAGACTTTGAAAAATGAAATCTCTGAATCATATGGCAGTCTGGAGTCCAGGTTCCCCTGTCAGCTTCCTGACAATGTGGCTTTTTGTGAAGCTTGCCCACAAGTGTAGAATACACCAGCCTGATGATTCTAGTGCCTTGCCTCAGCCATTAGGGATTCTCATTACGAACACATGATTTGACATCTGGCTTCATGTATGGGCCTGCTTTGCTTTGGAAATCCGTGGGTATAGCTCAGATTATTTCTCAAAGGGGACTTTTTCTCTCTGTACTATTTTTGCATAAAGGTTTTACAAAAAAGATATTGCTTGCCAGGTGAATTAGTAAATTGTAAATGGGAAAAAAATTAAAACCTGAATGTTTGCATGTCTTTTGGTTAGACACAATCTCTGGAAGCAAAATATGAAACCCAGGATCAAAAAAGGGTACATTAGTAGGTTTCAGTATATAAAAGTTTAAAACTTCTATAGGGTAAAAGATACTATAATCTCAAAAGTGTAAATGATAGAATGGAAGAAAATATTTGGTCTTTATGAGACATTCAAAAGTTTAAAGGTAAGATAATTTAATGAATTTCTATAAATCTTTTTTAAGCAAGTGGTCCCAAAGAAAAATGGGCAAGATGCAACATTTGCATATAAAAATTGGGATATGACACACTTTTACTAAAAAAAGTATTCATTGTTTATCTGAAATTTAAATTTAACTTGGTGTCCTGTATTTTTTTAAGTTTGCCAACCCTGAAAGGACATGAGCTTTCAATGTACAGCATGTGACAGAGTCATGATTTGCAGTTGCTGAAAAGTTGCTTAATATTATCATGGAAATTAAAACAAACATGAGAAATGCTTTTTGCTCATGACATTAGAAAACATTAAGAAAACAATGTCCCTTGTCAAAGATACAAGAAAATATGGATGCAATACACTGTCTAAGGAAGTATAAATGATAAAGGCTTTCTGGAAAATCTTGACAGCTGTGGCCTAGGGGCTGAAATTAAGGTTTGATATTATGTACTGCCTCGATATTTGGCAAAATTATGAAGACCTCAGCTGGTCTATCTGCAAGTTTCCCTCCTCGCTCCCATCCCTGGATAAGGTGCCCCAGCCAAACCACCCTCCTTATCAAGGGTACCAGGCACAGTTCCTGCTTTTTCCTCAGGTTTCAGGTCCCTGCCAACCTGCAAAATGAGTCCAACAACTCAATCACCTCCTCCTGTGAGAACCAGGGAGCACCTGGTTCTCTTGTTACTACAAAGCCTGCCTCCCGCAGCTCCTGCTTGTTCATTCTGTTCCCAAGTGCAGCCTCTGTGTGGCCCTGCGGGGCATGTGGCATCCTCCTCCCCTTGGTGGTGAGTATAGGTGACTGATAAACTGCTGTCAGTCTCATCTGCCCAATGTTGGGTGTCATGTGTTTGGCCATCTATAACCTTAGAGTGAGAATCTCTCATTTACCAAAGAGGCAGATAGGAGCTGATTCAAACAGCAGCACATTTTAAATTGTTAAATATACATACTGTTTAAACTGGAAATTTCACTTCTAAGAAAATATGTAAAAATACAAATGCAAAGAGAGAGGCTCATGCAGAAAAAATAATATTCAATATGCATTTCAACATTGCTTGTAAGAATGAAACTTTGGAAACAACCTGAATGACCCATTCATCAGGAAACTATTAGGTAAGTTACTATAACTTAATCTATGAAATACTATGCAATAGCTGAAAAGACATAGAAAAAGGGCCAGACACTGTTGTGGTGAGCCAAGATTGCATCATTGCACTCCAGCCTGGGCAACAAGAGTGAAACTCCGTCTCAAACAAAAGAAAAAAAGACATGGAAAGACTTGTTATATCTAAGCAATACATAAAATCCACCCACTTTATATTAAAAAATACAGATCACATACACATACATGATAAAAGATTTGCAAAAATGTTATATATGCATATAACAAAGACAGGAGGGAAAAGGCCAAGCTGATAAAAGTGGTTGCCTCTTACATAGAGGAGGAGGTGAGGGCAAGCAGAAGCTTTTGTGTTTCATGCGATATAGTTTTGTACTGTTTGACTCCTACAGTGAAAATATATTCTAGTATCACTTATGTGCTGTGACAGAAATTTAAAAATAAGAAATGTATATAAAAGTATGTATAAAAGTCTTCTTGTCTAACAACTGCTGAAGGTTTGTAGTAATTAATGAAATTGAGTAACGGGACTGGCTACTTCTCAATATTCCAGCACCCCCAGCCTGCAGACATCCCCTGAGCCTTAATGCTAGGTGTTGCTCAAGCCTGTATGTCCTTCTCAGTTTCCCACCAGAAAGACTCATAAGCAAAAACACCTCATTCACGTTTTTCCATACAAGTCCTGCAACTGAGTGATACAAACACTAACACATTTTCACAAATCTGTCGCCATCTCTTCCCTGACCCTTATCTCTAATGCGGTATGTTAAAAAACAAAACAAAAACGCATATAAAGGGAGTGAGAGTGAGGTCTGATGATGGAGAGAAAATAGAAACATCAGCTTCTGCTTTAGCTGCCGTGAAACCCCAGAAGGGCCATTAGCAACAGTTTCTGTTTGCTAAGTGAAAAACTACATTTAACTCAAGAATGACACGTTCTTTCTCCTTTCCCACTCTTTAGAGAAACGAGCTGGCTTGTGAATGACAAGCAATGCGAGTGAGCCGTTATGTAGGCAGTGCAGATCCCAGGGAAATTCACCAGAACTCGGACCACACGGCGTGGACTGAAGTTCATCCCTGTCCTGCTGCCTGAGCCACGCTGGAGCCCTCTCCACAGCCTCCGGTCCCCAGCCCCACCCCAAACCCTCATCTTCCCCGGAAGCGGGGGCGGGCACATGACATCTCACCACAGTAATGCCGTCATTGAGCAGGGCCTCCCCGAAGATCATCATGTAGAGCTGCTCGTTCACACGCGCCTCCTCAAACACAGCCAGCACGGCCACGGGGTCCACGGCGGAGATCAGGCTGCCGAACAGCAGGTTCTGCAGCAGGTTGACGTCGCCCAGGCCAAAGGCCTTCACCTGGCAGATGAAGTAGAGGGAGAGGCCAATGCCCAAGGCGTTGATCAGGGCCCCCAGTACTGCCCACCACAGGATAGAGCCGATGTTCTCAAAGAAGGGCCGGGTGGGCATGAAGTAGCCGCCCTCCAGCACGATAGGTGGCAGGAGATACAGGAAGTAGATGCTGGAGTCCATGACCGGAGGCGACTTGTGGTCCGTGCCGAAGATGATGCCGCCCACTAGCGCCCCCACCAGGATGAGGAGGCAGCTCTCTGGCATGAGGCCCGGCAGCCTGCGGTAGAGGTGGAAGCCTGCGGAACAGCGGAGAGCACAGTTAGGTGTTTGCAAACGAAACGGTCTGGGTGTACCTGAGGTCTTTTAAAGTCAAGCAGACAGGAAGGACCGTGGGCAAGCTGGCTGGCATCTCAGCCTCAGCGTCCCATCTGTAGCAGGAACTGGTAGTGTCATGAGGGTCGTCGCTAAGATCAGTAGGTAACATGCCCAGCTCAGTGCAGGTCACAGAATCATTCTCAGCCAGCTGCCCCCTCCCCCATCCTCCTTCCTGCTTTCCCACCTTACAGGGATCTGCGAGGGTGCGTGAGGGAAAAGGAGAAACGAGGGTGAAACTTTTGCACTCGTGCAAGCTCAGGTTTCAAGCTCATGCCGAATCTATTGTATCACCAAAACCTGAGCTTGTTCCAAACTTACCTGACCTCATTCCCCTCTTCACCCAACACATACACAAAAATTAAAAGTCCTTTATTTTGTCTCCTGTGTTTAACCAATGACATTGCTATCTGGTCAGCCACTGAAGGGGGAAATCAGGTCGCATTCTCATGAGTGACTCTTCATCAATCAGCTCTGTATTTATTTCTTATGTCATGACTCTCATTCGCTGCCCCTAAAATTATCCCCTCCTCTCCATTTCTTTGGCTGCTGCCTTTATTTAGGATCTTCCCATTTCTCATCTTAATGATTGCATTGTCTTCTTGACCTCCAATCTCACCCTTGACCCCCCAGGTCGTTCCACACTCTACTGTCAGATGATTTTTCTACACCATGGGTCTCTGATTGTCTCAATTCCCACCTAGGATTCTGAAGGCACACAAAGCATCTCCTGGATTGTAAAACAAGGGTATTAGTTGAGCCTCACTGTGCAAAGACTACAGTTAAGTACCGCCAGGTGGAAGACCAGAGAGGTAGACAACTGCAATTCCCAGTATTGATAAAGTTTTAGAAACAAGACATGAGCAACTAAGAAGATGACGTGTAAGTATATAATGAAGGGCATATTGAACATATCAACAAACATGGTGAGAGATCAGAGCTCAGCAGATCACCATGGGGCTCTCTCCAAGTCGGTCTCCCACACATTCTGCACTATCTTTACGTAGCCTGCATTCAGCCAGTCAAAGGCGTCACTCTGCAGGCCTCTTTCTTGTCTTCTCATTCTAATGTCACTGCTTGGATTGTCCTTTTCCTTGGTCCCTTTAAGTCCTGCTCATCCTTTGAGGCTTAGCTTTCCCTAGCTTCTTCCTAAGTTCATATGTTCCTCTGAATTACTACTAATAAAGCATTTTATCTGACTCTGTCTAATAACAATAATCCCTGTCTACTATTTTTTTGTGCATGATTCATGTCTCCTAATAATGTGGAAAGCCCCCAGACTCAAGCAGAATGATTTACATTGTCATGTCTCCCCAAATACTTAGCACGGTATCTTGTCCACAACAGCTGGCCTATTTGCTGAAAGCATCTGTAAGTGTATAAATGAAGGAATAAACAGTTAAATGTTTATCAGAGAAGCTTTCTCATGAGAAGAGATTGAACAGGTTGTTGGAGAATGATGAGGATTGGGTAACAGAATGGGAGAGATTTTAGGTGAGGAGAACATCAAGAGTGAAAGAAGAGAGGAAGAAATGGCCTAGCCAGGCCGGGCGCGGTAGCTCACGCCTGTAATCCCAGCACTTTGGGAGGCCGAGGCGGGCGGATCACAAGGTCAGGAGATCGAGACCATCCTGGCTAACACTGTGAAACCCTGTCTCTACTAAAAATGCAAAAAATTAGCCGGGCGAGGCGGCGGGCGCCTGTAGTCCCAGCTACTCGGGAGGCTGAGGCAGGAGAATGGCGTGAACCCGGGAGGCGGAGCTTGCAGTGAGCCGAGATCGCGCCACTGCACTCCAGCCTGGGCGACTAAGCGAGACTCTGTCTCAAAAAAAAAAAAAAAAAAAAAAAAAAAAAGAAATGGCCTAGCCAGATACCTTTGACGTTCATTGAGGGGATCCACTCGGCTAGAGCAACCTTTGAACTGGGAAAAGTGTCAGGAGAGGACTTGGAAAATGATTTTGAGACAAATAATGGAAGACCTTGAATTCAAACCTAAGGAAGGTGGTGGGCTTCCAGCCACAGGCCACAGGGAGTCAGCAAATGTCTCCTTGGGAATTGTTAGATTCACCCATCCAAAGATGATATGAGCTTCCCTGACCATGGCTTTGAACTTCTCCATTCACTATAAGTTAACACAACAGGGTGTAATTATCACCAAGGAATACCATCCCCACTTTCATCTGGCTTCAGGGTCAGGGTAAGCACCTCTTCTGGTGCACTGAACTCATCATTTTCTAATCACTGCTTATTTCTCCATTTCCTCTTCCTCCTCTTTATTTTACTTCTTTCTTCTTCTCTTCCTATTTCTCCATTTCCTCTTCCTCCTCTTTATTTTAATTCTTTCTTCTTCTCCTCCTATTTCTCCTCCTCCTTCTTCATCTTCTCTTTGTCCAGCTCCTGCTGCTCCTTCTTACTCTCTTCCTCCTTCTCCTTCTTTTTATCTCCTCCTACTACTTATCCATCTCCTCCTTCTCTTTCTCCTTCTCCTTCTTCTTCAGTTAGTGCTTATTTTAACCAAACTTAACTTTTTTAATATATAAAGGAGGTGGAAGAGCCCATAGCATGATTTTCTCAGGCCTTGTGGCTCCCCAGTTTGGCCTTGCTTCCAGGAATCCAGTTTCCTGAGATGGATCCAACATTCACCTGCTTTAAGCCAAGTTGCTCTCTACACAGTTGTGCAGGAAGAGGCCACACATCCATTAGTAGAGGGCCTGTAAAGAGAAATGCTACATGCCTTTCATGATGGACAATAGAGTCAATCACTTAAAATTTACAGTTTCAGTCCTTAGAGCTTAAATGGACACAAATATTAAAAGTCCTGTCTGAAAGTCAAAGAAGGCCCTACAATTCTGTTCTTCCCAAAGATTCAAGGAACATTCGTCTATGACGTTCTAAGACGTGGAACTGAAGTAGAAGATAAACCACAAAGTCTGAGGTGGCTTTGTATTATCTTTGTTCTACATTATCTTTGTTTTATAAGTGCATAGTTGGGTGTTTTAAAAAGGATTAGGGGAGAGTTTTGATGTTTTTCTGTCAGAGTATCTACGGGCAGTAAGTACTAGGTTAAACTATCTTCCCCATTAGGCCAAGTCCCTTGAGGTCAGGGACCATGATCATTTCCACATATTTCATGAGTGCTCAGAAAATATACCTTGATAGAATGAGGAATAAAAGAATGAATCATAATAATGATTATTAATTTTATTCTGATTCATGTTAAATAATATAATATTTTAAAACCCATATGAATTTCTTAAGTGTTAAAATTGCAAATCATCATCATAATTATTATTTTGGCCCTAATACATAAGCCCTTATACATAAAACTACCAGCCTAGTACTTGGCACATAGTATATATTCAATAAATATGGCCTTTTTATCTCCTCACTCCTCATGTCCATATGGAATACAAAAATAATCTAAATTCTTGAAGACTAGTGAATATGAAATTGTACTTGAATAAGTGTATTCTGATATCCTACTCTTTTTTCTAAAGTATGTCAAATTACATCATGAAAATCAAGAACATTTAAACCAACAGTTCTATGAATAATCGTATTTTCACAGTGCTCTTCACTCCTAGACAGAATGAATATGGATGCATACAATGCCTCTACAAAACAAGCTAGGTTTTACACAAATATAAAACCAAGACAAAATGCACCCTTTCTGCATTTATATGTTTATTGATAGAGCAACTAGCTAGTCAGTGACAGGATGAGTTTCCTGGTACTCAGATTGACTTGAGCCATTTCTGTGAAGAGGAAGCCGGGTTGTGGAGTGGGAGCAGGAAACACAGAATCTCTAGCATATTGTTTTAAAAGGAAAACTCAAGTACCAAGTAAGATCGCCTTGAACACAATCAGTGTCCATATGATTTCACGAAAGATGTTAGACTGCTCTGAACTGAGAATGTTATCCATTTAGAAAGCCATTTTTACTTGAATACCTCTGAAAAATATAGTAAGACCCTTTGTGTGACTTAATTACTAAGCAAATTGCACAAGACTTCTTCAAACTAACAATTCCTATTTAATTCACACTTTACTAGCTCAAAATGAATAGCAACTATAAAGGAGAGTCTAAAGGGGACACCTATACCAGTGTCCCCAACACCCATGGAGAGGCAGCTAGGTGAATAGCCAGAGCCCACAGAAGGTAACTGCCAGACCTCAAAGCTCAACCCACATTTCACATCCATCCTAGAGAAAACATACACATATACATAAATGAGAATTAAAATGTTTCATTAATTCTATCTCAATAAGGCAATCTACATACTCAAATAGCATAAAGTTTATAGCTGAGGCAAAGGAGACATTGTGCTTAGCATTTGAGATAATTATATTAATTTTCCACTTTAGAATAAGTTGGTTTTTAAAGAGACAAGGGGGTGCAGTTAGGTATTAAATAGTCACAGAGAATAACCACCTCTTTGGTTTTTGACACAAAGATCCCTTGATTGGAATTTAATCTATTAACTTGGATTCACTTTATTTCACAAAGGAAACTAGAGGTGCCTCACTGGCCCCACTTGGCTTAGGTGTAAACTAATATTTTACTGACAGATATAGTATTATATGCCCCAGCATCCCATCACTGAGTGATACTAGTTGCCTATGGTTTTTTTTTTTGTTTTTTTTTTTTGTTTTTTTTTTTTTGCTTTCTGTCAATTTGCAAGAAGCACATGCTACTTTTAAAGAGTAAACAATGGGGTCATTGATGAAGCCCACAATTACACAGCCAAGAACATTTTACAGAAGAAACATTATGTGGTTCCTGAAATTTGAAATTTCCACCTTGCATCATGCCCAGGTCTACGTGCTTTATTCTCTATATTTTTAAAGCATAGAATTTGAAAGTTTTGCATGTCAACAATGTCACATGGTTGTCACCCTGAAATGAGAAGAAACCAACACAGCCCAGTACACAGAAGTATGCTCTCAAATATCAAAGCACAATCTCAAAGTATTAAACAGCTTAGTAAAATGCAGTTATGACTTTCCCTTGACTGAAAGGAAGAGAATTTTTAATGTAATAGCAGTAACAGTTAAAATCCTCTTAGCCCATTATCTATAAGGCATTTTCACATTCACTATCTTATGCAAAAAAATAACTCACCAAACCAGGTGTTGAAGGACTTACCTATTTTTGCAAGGGATGCTAGAAGTATCCAGAGAGTGACCTCATAAGGAATTTGCACGTAGTCATAATCCAGTTCAAAAACAGATATCCTCTCATCTGGCTCTGAGCTGGCAGCAGCAAACCAAGCGTTAGGTGCATACTGAGCAGTGGAATTTGCAGATTCATTTAAATCAGAAGATGCTTCAGAACACTCAAGAGCCACTAGCAGTAGCAAACAATTCCAAGGACTGAGAGTCACGAACATCTGCAGAGCCATTCTTGTGGGCTTCTCCTACCTACCCCCCTGGGTGGATGTGTGCCACACATCTGAAGTCGGGGAGGCTTCTAGAGAGTGACTGCATCCACCTGGGTCAAAAGTAATATAGGTACAGTCCGTGGGTCCTCCCAAGAAGATTCCGAGTGTGTTATTGAGCTCTGCATGTAGACGCTTTCTAATCTTTTTTAAATCGTTTGTGTTCAGGCAACTCAGCTTCCAACTCAGACGCAGTTATTCAATAGACTTGTTAAAGTCCATGGAGTTACCTGGAGGACCTCCATCCAATCATGGCTTGAGCAATTTATGAAAGGAATAAAAATCTCTTCGCTTAAAGGCATTTCCTCATTTCACTGCATACTGGCTTTGTCTTGTGGGTGAAAATTTAAAAGGATACTGTAGCGGTCATTCCACAGATCATTGGAGTCCTTCTAACGAGGAAAGGAAACCTTCCCTCTCTATCAGATCCCAAGAAGGAGCTATTTGATCTGCACCTGTTCCTTCTCTCCTCCCCCTGTCCTCTCATTTGTTTTGAATGGCCAAGGCTGCAGGTAGCTCTTGAACTACACTTAATTATTTGCTCTGATTTGACTTCTGTAATGAAATCCTTTCTCTGAGTGTTCTCGGGAGGTCACACTGCTGACACCTACTGGGCACCTGAAATACAACACCCTTCACACGTTCAGTGATGATCATTAAGGTGACCATGAAAGTATCTAAACCAGGACACTTTGGGGAATGAATAATAATAATGATAATTATGCAAAGCTATAGGCACAAACCAGAACTGTCTGGCAAGCTGTCTTATATTGTCTCTATACATGAGGAAGAAGGAGGATAAGAAGGAGGTGGTAACAACAAGGATGGTAGCAAACATTGAAACTTTTGCATGTTACCAGACTCCATAAGCAGTCATTCAGAGAAGGAATGAAGTTCCAGATCTCTATGAACTTTACACTATAATTTTTTTAAAAACAGGAAACCAAAGAACAAGTTTCATAAATACACCTAAATACCTGGATTTGTAAAACTCCATGGCACATCCAGATTTTCCATTTAAAAAACATTTGTTGTTGTTGAAAAGAAGCAGAATCATAGAGTGTTGATGAAAGAATTTTGAGATAATTTTTATGAGCCTACTTCTCACGCTTCTACTTGTGGCCATGTGACCTTGATGAAGTTAATTACCTTTCAGAAATTCTTTATCTGAAATGGGGAGGAAAATATCTGTCTCATTGAGTAGCTAGGAACATTAAATAAGATAAAGCAAGTAAAGAATTTGGCATATCATTGGCACTTAAATGTTAGTTTTTATTTTAAATTACATTTCTTATTCTTTTAGGATAACACACAACACGTTTGCAACGATTACTGATACTCAGTGAAAAATGAGAATAATACATCATCCATATACTACCTCAACATCTCTTTTATATGTGTTTTGTTTTTTTCTTAGTTCATATTAGTGAGTGCAGGGGATTTCCCCCTACCCAACACACACACACACACACGCACACACACACACACTCAGCAAACATCACTGGGAAATTGAGAAAGGAATGGTTGAGAAGGGCTAACACCTAGATGCAAATTCATAGTGAGGCAATAGAATTAAAAGTTGGCATATGAATATTTTTTCTTTTTCCTTCAGTTTGACTCCAAAATAGATTAGATTCAGTCACTGAAATGAGACTATCAGGTGGACTACAAGAAGGGTACCCATATTGAGTCAATTATTTTTTCTCAAAGAATATATGAATATCCTTTAATAGAAAGCTGCTTTATAATAGGTGTTTTATTTTTATTTGCATTTTATTGCAATTTTTTTTTTCTAAAAAGAAATGAGGGAGCAAGTCTCACATAGTGCCTTGTGGAAAGACCAAAACTAAGAATCAAAAGCCTTATTTACTCAGATATTAATTATCTTATTGGCTTTGGAAAATTACCTGTTTGAGCCTTAGTTTTCTCATCTATAAAATAAAGATGCTGTCCATACCTGGTAACCATTTCCTGCTCTAAAATTCCAAATTTTGTGACTATATGGCAACCCGTTTAGCCTTATGATCACCTGATGGCTGATAGTCCAGTCCCTCTCAGAGTAAGAATGTCAATCTTGGGAGGATAGTAGGAGAACAACTTGAGCTCTGCAACAGTCTACTAACTTGTAGTCCAGGTTAAGATGTAGCAGCCCGCTTCATCAACCATTGGCATCACTTCCACTCATGCAGTAATTTCATACAGATGTCTGAACATTCTAAAATGCTTTCTTAATATAAGTTTCCCAGAAAGTGTATGTGAGACAAAGCTTCCATGAGAGGTGCAAACCAAGGGCAGCAAAAGTGAGGGGAAAGGGGGAAGAAGGGAGAAGCTCTTCCAGAATGACAGCATGAGAAGCACCATAGACTCTCTTCCTAGTGAAACAACTATAACTGGTGAGATCATTAAAAATCAAAAACAACCATCTAGTCTCTGGAAATTGTCCTAAGAACAGATGGAAATTGAAACAAATCTTCTGAATGTTGGAAAGATCTGAAGTCATGGCCTGTTTTCTCTACCCACCCCTCAACTCAGTGTGAGAAAAACTCTATTCTGCATGAATATAGCCAAGAGAATGGGGCTGCCTCTAATCCCAGTTTAGGACTACAGTTTCTACCCAGAAAAGTCAGGTTGTCAGCATATGTAACCAAACTCTGCCCTACTCCAATCCCAGCAATATGTTGAACAGACTCTATTGCAGGCAAGTGTAACTGAATCTACCCCAGAAACAGCAAACTAGGAATACTGGACCCTGATAACTCTCAACTTGCTCATAAGGCTGAGTTTTCACAACAGGGGAAATAAACCAAGATGACCAGTGGCTACTGCCCTAGTCCAGCATCCCACTGACACACCAGGGGTATCACTCCAAGAGAAGTAGGTTACTCTCTCTGTCCCCATCTCCAGAGTAGTGGAACAGAGGTTCTGCCAAGGAGAGGAGACAGGCTATAGAACAGAGAACTCTATAGCTAACTCTAAGTAGACTAACTTTAGTTGGAACAAAATATAGAGACGTTCAAGCCTAAGGTCACTGTCAAAAACAATGAAGATTTAGGTTGTGACCAAGGAAGTAAAGCTAGTGGCCCCATGATTGCAATAAGTTAAAGAGTAGACCAACTGGAAGTTTAACAGAAGAACCAGAAAAAGAGATGGATGAAAAGAGCTCTCCTGAGGTTATAACATGTCTCAAAGATTACCCTGCAAAGGGGCCTGACTTTAAATGAATCATACTGTGGAGTAATTTAAGACTCAAGGCATTGTTGAAAACAATAGGCCATATCAGCCAGCAGTTACTGGAGGCTAACAGTTGAGGGTGATATCAGTAGATACAACAGACCAGCTAGAAGCTTAACAGATCAGTGAAAGAACGTCAGAGAAGCCTACTAAAACCATTGTTATTCTGGGGGAAGGGAGAAAGGGTTTAGGGGTATTATAACCATGCCCCAGGCTTCACTGGCTGAGGAGCAGTATAAAAAGCTGCACAGGGAAATAGACTTTGCTGATATAGTCCAGCCAAGTCACTAAACAAACAGCAAACAATTAAGCAACAAAAAGCCTTGGAGTTGGAGGAGGGAGAGAAAGCAGCATCAAGAATTGCTACAAGATATCATCTAAAATATCTGGGTTTTAGGCAGAAAAAAAATCTAGTTTCAAAGATACCAGTAGGTTGAAAGTAAAAAAAAAAAAAAAATGGGGAAAGATATATCACACAAACAATGCTAAGAGAGCTTGAGTGGCTTTACACTGACAAAATAGGGTTTAAAATAATAAATGTTACTAGAGCTAAAGAGGGACATTTAAGAAAAAGAAAAGTGTCAATCTATCAAGAAGATGTAAGAATTCAAACTTATGTATACAAAGTGGAATTTTTCTCAGGAAGGCAAGGTTGGTTTAATATTTAAAAATTATTTCATGTAACATGCATATCAGTAGAATTAAGGCAAAACCACATGACCATTTCAACAGACTGAGAAAAGCATTTGACAAAATCAACAACCTTTTATTTTGAAAACACTCCACAGGTCAGGAATGGAAGGGAACTTCTTCAACGTGATAATGCACAGTCAACATCATACTTAATGGGGAAAGACTAAATACATTTCCCTGAAAGAACAGCAACAAGACAAGGAGATACACTCTTGCCGCTTCCATTCAGTATTCTACTAGAGCTGCTTTTAGTCAGGGCATTTAGACAATGAAAAGAAATAAAAGACATTCAGATTGGAAGGAAAAAAATAAAACTATTTCCATTTGTATGATCTTTTAAATAGGTTATTCTAAAATATTTAAATAAAATATCCTGAATAATTGACTAAAAAACTATTAGATATAATAAATGAGTTCAACAAGCTTGTAGGATATGAGACCAATATGCAAAAACAAATTGTGTTTTATAGCAACAATGAATAAAACAAAACAGAATTAAGAAAACAATGCCATTTATAATCACATCAAAAAATACAATTTTTAGGAATAAGTTTATCAAAAAAGTGTCACACATGTACTCTAAAAAAAATTGTTGAACATAAAGACGATCTAAATAAATGGAAAGATATCTCTGTTCCTGCATCAGAAGACTTAATATTGTTATGTAGTCGACTGTCTCAAAAATGAACTATCTACAAAAAACTTAAATTTACAAGAAAAAAACAAACTACCCCATCAAAAAGTGGGCCAAAGATATGAACAAACACTTCTCAAAAGAAGACATTTATGCAGCCAACAGACATAAGAAAAATGCTCATCACCACTGGTAATTAAAGAAATGCAAACCAAACAAGATACCATCTCATGCCAGTTAGAATGGCAATCATGAAAAAGTCAGGAAACAACAGATGCTGGAGAAGATGTGGAGAAATACGAATGCTTTTACACTGTTTGTGGGAGTGTAAATTAGTTCAACTGTTGTGGAAGACAGTGTGGTGTTTCCTGAAAGATCTATAACTAGAAATACTGTTTGACCCTGTAATGCCATTACTGGGTATATAGCCAAAAGATTATAAATCATTCTACTATAAAGACACATGCACACATATGTTTATTGTGGCATTATTCACAATAGCAAAGACTTGGAACCAACCCAAATGTCCATCAATAATATACTGGATAAAGAAAATGTGGCATATATACACCATGGAATACTATGTAGCCATATAAAAGGATGAGTTCATGTCCTTTGCAGGGACATGGATGAAGCTGGAAACCATCATTCTCAGCAAACTATCACAAGAACAGAAAACCAAACACTGCATGTTCTCATTCATAAGTGGGTGTTGAACAATGAGAACACATGGACATAGGGAGGGGAGCATCACACACCGGGGCCTGTCACGGGGTTGGGAGCTAGGGGAGGGATAACAGGAGAAATACCTAATGTAGGAGACAAGTTGATGGGTGCAGCAAGCCACCATGGCACGTGTATACCTATGTAACAAACCTGCACGTTCTGCATATGTACCCCAGAACTTGAAGTATAATACTAATAAAAAGAACTACAGATTCAACACAGTCTCTACCAAAATTGTGTCTTTTTTCCTTTTT